GGTTTATTCATAATCACTAAAACTAGAAATAAACCAAATGTCTATCAATAGATGAATAAATAAGTTGTAGGATATTCATAACATAAAACATTACTCAGCAATGAAAAGGAATGAAATGCTGATTGATATATGCAATAAGATGAATGAATCTCAAAAAAATATGCTAAGTGAAAGAAATCATACACACACAACTACTTTTGTACATTACATTTAGGGTCAGAGATCAGATCACACACACCTAAGGACTGGAGGTAGGAAAAGGAGATTAACTGCACAGGGAAATAAGAGAACTTTTTTTCATTTTCTTTTTCTTTTTATTGGTGACCCTGTTACAGATATCCCCATTTCTGCTCCTGCCTTTACCCACCTCCATCTATCCCCCCACCTCCACTTCCCTCTGCTCATCACTACACTGCTGTCTGTGTCTATGGGCTATGCATATATGTCCTTTGCCTAAACCCTTCATCTTCTTTCATCCCAGTCCCCCTCTCCTAACCCCTCTGACAGCTGTCAGTCTGTTCTATGTATTCATGCCTCTGTTTCTATTTTGTTCATCAGTTTATTTTGTTCATTAGATTCCATATATAAGTGAGATCACCTGGTATTCGTCTTTCTCTGACTGGCTTATTTCATTTTGCATAATAATCTCCAGGTCCATCCAGGCTGTTGCAAAAGGTAAAGATTCCTTCTATATTTTACAGCTTGGTAGAGAACTCTTTAGAGTGACAGAATCTTGTATATCTTGATGGTGGTTGTGGTTATATGACAATATAGACTATACATTTTTCAGAATTTATTTTTTCGGCATGTAAATTATACCTCAATAAACCTGAGTTTATAAAATTTAAAAATACATATCTTTTGATCCAGCCATCCACTTTGAGATGTCTACTCCACAGAAATAAATGTGTCAATATATATAGAACTTAATGGACCTTAATAAGAAAATGATTAAATAAAATTATGTTCTATTCAATACTGTAGAATATAATGTAAATAATTTAAAAGATCTGGAAATAGTCCTTTGAGCATTATGGTTTGTGGGAACTGAAAGAACAGTTTTCACTCCACTGATTTGAGCCCTTTTTCTTAATTGAAGTTAGAAGAATGGACCACAATGGGGTACTATGTGCATCTTGAGTAATGCCATCCATTTATAATGGCCATGGTTTGGACTGTCTAGTTATTCCTTGCCTTCCAGGGGTTTATGTCCTAAACAAAACCCTAGAAAATGTATTGCCCTTAAAGGCTGACTTTCAACTTTTATTTTCTGTTTTTCATTTGATTATAGTATAGGAATCCTCCACAAAAGTTCAATTTACACCTCAAAAGGGGGGTGAGGTGAGGGAAGACAAATAACTGAACCTAAACCTATAAAAACTATTTAATTGATGTTAAAATTACCCCTTAAAAAGAGTCTTCAAGTGAATTCATCCTTTATGTAGACAGCAGAACATTTTAAACAAATTTATAGAGCATTATTATTAGATTAAGAATCTTGAGAGCATGCACATACAATAAAAAAATCATGAGAGCCCTGGCCGGTGTGGCTCAGTTGGTTGGAACATCATCTCATACACCGAAATGTTACAGTTTTGATCCTGGTCAGGGTGCATACAGGAGGCAACCAACTGATGCTTCTCTCACATGAATGTTTCCCTCCCTTCCTCCCCCTTCCTCTCTCTCTAAAATCAATGAGCATGTCCTCTGGTGAGGATAAAAAAAACCATGAGAGCACAAAGAAATGAAAGACATGATCCTTGTTCTTTAAAGAGTGACATTTAACACTCTCAGACTCAAGAAGCACAAGATGAGTACACAATCAGGTGTTGGTGAGTTAGTGTAATAAGTGTAGTATATGACTCATCACCATTTAAAATACTTCTATCACAGATGTTCTTTTGGAAGTACTCCTTCACCTTCCTGTAACCTTAAGGTTTACTTCAAACCCTCTATTTTAGATGAGGCTAACATTATTTCCAATACCATGTAAATAATTTACATTAAAATATTAAGATATGCTTAGTATCATGTAAAAATATCTACTTTCCTAGAATTATGATATAATGAGGAGTACTTCAATAAGATGTATGCATTAAAGAATTATTATTAGTTTCCATTAACTGGGTAGTTACTAGAACTGTAGAGTTTTTCCTTTTATTAAATGGTCAAAATATAATCAAAACTAAAATATCATTTACCCTCATCTTGGGGGTGTCTGCTTAAAAGAAATCATGAGCTAAAATGAAGAACATGAAAGCATGCCTCTCACCTTAATGCTATTAGTCATATCAAATAAAGACAAAACATCTAAGAATGAGGGCTTGCTTGTGATGCAGAGGGCAACAACCAATATTTTTAACATGCTTTTATCTGACATTTCAATAACTTTATTAAGTTCTTACCATAGTGACATTTCAATCACTTTATTAATATTTTTCTTATACTGTGATCTTAGTTCTCCAATTTAAAAATAAATAATATACCATTAACTTACCAGGAAACGATTATGACACACTGCTATCCATATACATGAAATTCTTTAAATAACTGGGAGAGGTATTGAGGGGAGGGCAGAGATATGAAAAAGTTATCTCTTTCTGAGATTTTGGAGACCCAGCTTCCTTATCCTGTTCCCACATAAATACTCAAACATTATGCCAGAGTTACACAAAATAAGTGGACATCACCAAGCAGAGCTCCAAGAGTAGGTGTTCTGAACATGTTGGTAAAGAAAGTCACTTCATCTGAGAGGTCTCTGCCCCTTCAACCTCACCCTCCTTACCAATATACATTCATCACTAAAAAGGGAAATATTTACAAAAGTTAGTTTAGTTATGTTTAAATATTATGTTTAGCTGTCTGGAGACCATGTTCTCAAAATTTATACAAGAAATCAAGGATTAAACTTCATAACAATTAGAAAACCACTCTGTCTAAAATCAAAGACTTAAAGGACACTAAAATAGTTTTACCATTGGTGCTAAATTGAAATGACTCCATCTCTTCCCAACACCTGGAACCAAAACCTTTTAAACTTTCATGTAAACATACCGGGGCACACCAAATACTCTGTCTGTAGCAAGGTACCACCTCTGCACAGACATTGGGTGAAAAATGTGGAAAATGCCTAAGGACTCTTTGAAGTAGCTTGGGAGAAGTAAGAGCAGGAAAGAGGCTCTTCACTAGGGTAAGTTTGTTTAGTGGAAAGTAAGCAAGTTGTCAGGGTAAAAGTTGACAATGTTGATTCCAACAGTTTGAACTGTGAATAAACATCGAAAAAGATTATGTTACTGAGAATTAGAAAAGATTCCATTGAACTCAATAGAACACTTGTGTGTGTTCAAAGATAATATGCCTTTGAGCCACATTCTGGATCCACAGTTTAGGGTTAGAATTACCTTAAGTCCTTTCTATGCCACATTAAAGAACATGGGGTCTGACCTCTCTAATATGTGCTTAAAATATTCGAATAAGGATAGAATAAAAATATTTCATGTCCAATAACAGAAATGAAAAACATTAAATACATGCACATTTGTACATCTGAGGTAGACTGAATAAATCTAGAGAGAAATCTTCCCAAACATCTAAACACAGTTTCACTAACCAATTTAGGGAAATGCATCATTGGCTATAAATCACTTTTAAGTTTTCCTTCTTTTACCTATCAAAGAGCAAAAAACAGGGCCTATATTATGAAATCCATAATCCTCTTCTCTGCTCACCAAAGCCACATTTAAATCTGGCTTTCATCTCATGCTATTGAGTTTTCCACCAGGTACAAAATGGAAAGTTGAAAAAGACTTGTGCTTTTTACAAAGCAAAACAATTTGGTTGCCACTCAGCAATTCCTGGTAAAATGCCAGGAAGCCTGTAAAAAAAAAAAAAGTTAAAATTTTCCTAACTTAGACTTTACAAAAATAAGTGTGAGATGTTCAGAGCCTGTCAGACAATCCAATCCATTTTTTTATTTTTTAAATATTAGTAAACAAGGGAAAATACACTTTTGATTTGTTAAATTTTATTTGAATAAACATAACGCAGATCTATCTGCCTTGCGTGCCCTCAAGAAAATGAAGGTAACTTGAGCTGCTCTTATTAGTTCATCTCAAGTCCTTCATGATTCTCACATTAGTGAATGTTATTAGAAACTTTTTATTATTGATTTTTTTTTAGAGAGATAGAGAAACACCAATTATTGTTTCATTTATTTACGCTTTCATTTGTTGATTCTTGTATGTGCCCTGACTGGGGATTGAACCCACAACCTTAGTGTACTGGGACAACACTCTAACCAACTGAGCTACCAGGGCAGGGCCTGCTATTAGAATATTTTCCAAAGTTTGACAAAGACGTGCAATTCTCATGCTCTTTACCAGCAAAGTTTGCAGGCAACCCTGCAAAAAGTTGTTTTTCCTTTGAGCTCTCACACATATTCACATCCCCCCTAGAACCAAGGATGTAAGGGAGTATCGCTCAGTCTCATAGCCTCTTTGCTCTTAAAAAGAAAATCAAATTCCCCAGATATTTTCAAACTCCACCACGAACAGAACATTCTCAGCTCTGCATGTGCATCATTATCTCTTTTGCATTTCATCTTTATATTCACTGGGTTCATAGAAAGGACATACACAGAAAAAGGAAAATAGCTGCTTCTTAGACACCAAATTTAGTAATTCTCTCAAATCTACTGGCACACATCTAAAAAGTAATATTTTTATAAGGCTTCATTAGGTTTTCATTGGTTCTGTCTTTTAAGAACACACATGCTGAATCGCCCATAACCTCAAACCAAAATACATCTGCAAACTACAAGAAATGTTTTTTATAGGAAGACAAGAGTCATCACAATTTAAAAAGGGATATAGTGAGTAAAGACAGACAGATGTGGGCTCATCTGGATCTCACTTTAGTGTCTCCCAAGCATCAAGTTACTAACTGATGGAGGCCATCAATCTACAGTGCTCTAAGATTCCAGCCGGCTCCAATAGCCTTACCTGTTAATATGAGATTACTGTAAGTATTGGAGAATTGCTCCTTTAGAAGAACCAGATGCATCTGAGCTGCCTTCTCCCGTTGAAGCTCCAGCATAACATCAGGGTGCTGGGCAATCTTGCAGCCTTTCTGTTTATCCAAGGCAACATCACTCCGAACAATGTCTACAGAAAGAAAGAAAAAAAGGGAGTAGGGGGGGCAGGCAGTACAAATGAAAAACAAAAAAATTAAAAATAAACAAATAGCCCTGGCTGGCTTGGCTGAGTGGATAGAGCGTTGGCCTGGACTGAAGGGTCCCAGGTTCGATTCCTGTTAAGGGTACATGCCCTGGTTGCAGGCTCAATCCCCAGTAGAGGGTGTGCCGGAGGCAACCAATCAATGATTCTCTCTCATCATTGATGTTTCTCTCTCTCTCTCCCTCTCCTTTCCTCTCTGAAATCAATAAAAATACAGTTAAAAAATAAATAAACAAACCAATAAAACAAAAATCATATACATATTACAGTCCTGTTTTATCCCAAAATGACAATTTATAAACTACCAGTATTTTCATCAGAATTAAGAAATTCAAAATTAATAAACCTGAGGGTCTCCAACTTCATGATACATCCTGCAAGTTTCTCTGGTCATTTCCAAATTTTTGGAAGATTTTTTTGTTTCTTATCTCTCTCTAACCTCACTTAAGATTCTCACTCCTCCATTCCTCTTCTAAGCTCACCTCTAGTATTTATTTACCTCATGCGGCCTTTTCTTAACATCTTTTAGCACTCTCCATGGGAAAAAAATAATACAACTTTGTCTGAATACTAGTGACTATGAAGGTCATTTCCTCTATCTCATGCCATAGGACCAAGTGATAAGCTCCAGCATGTGTATTCAGGATTCTTGGACTGTTTTCAAGTTTACCTCCCAGCCGGCCTACTCAACTCAAACTAGAGCTGCCATTCTGTGGGTAAGCTATTCAGAATTTCTCCTGATATTTTTTTCATATACCTCTGGATACATTCTGACTCAGTAATTGTCCTTTCAATTTAGTATTTTGTGAGTCATTAAAGAAAGCAAGAGCAGTGCTAGAGTAACTTTTCAGATCTTTCTATTTCCCAGTTATTTTTCCATTAGTGATAGGTTGCTTTTTATACAGTATGATTTACACTCAAAGTAAAAGTATTCTTCAGAAAATAGCCTTCCTCAAAAATAAACATTCTTCTAGAATGCGTCACAATTACCAGGAAGCTTTCATGACCTAAAGTTATTTGTTTTACTTTTATAAGTTATAAGTTATGGTAATTCAGCTGATTACCATAGAAACAAATTATATTATCAATAGCAATTTGGATAACAACTCTAGAAACTTTCAAGTTTTACATAGCAAACTAAAGGATTTTAGAAGAAAATGCTTTAAAAAAAAAAAAAAGAAAAAGGCTGCTCTGCCACTGCTCACTGCTGACAGCAATGGCTTTGGAACAAAAAAAAAAAAAAAGAAAAGAAAAGAATGCCCATGTTGATGGTACCAGTAGAAATATTTGGTTCTTTAAGCAGTGCTCAACATCATTCACCCAAAACCTTGAAATAAAGTGACCATATTATCTTAATATTAATAATACTAAGAAAAGAAAACAATGGGCATGGGCAAACATACTTCCTAGACTTTAGAAAAGTGCATTATGACAATGTTTGGGGGAAAACAGATATTCTATATGGATTTTTATCTATACTTCATCTGTTCAACATTGTATCAAAGACTCGATAAACACAAAGTGAGAATACTTATCAAAGATGCACATGGTCATATATCTGAAGGAAGAGTAAGTATCATAAATGATAGGCTCAACATTCAAAATTATCTTTGCAACCCAGAAATGTAGGATGGGATCCCCAACATGTAGGTAAGGACATGAACACAAAGTCCTGCATTTATACTGAAAATTAATTACATAAGATAATATGCAAAGGCCGTACCAGACAGAAGTTGAGATATTTAAGATCTTATTAAGAATTGTAAATTTTAGTTAAATACAAGCTTAACATATAAGCCAGTGATATACTGCCAAATATAATATTGCCACCAAAAAAAAAATTAATTAAATTTTAGACTAAATTAATGGAACCAGAACATCCAGAATACAAAAGATTACATAGCCACACTGCATTCTATGCCAGTCAAGCGAAGCAGAGTGAAGAGTTGGAGTTAAGCAGACCTCAGTTCAAATTCTGATTTGGGGGGGAGAACCAAGATGGTGGCATAGGCAAACCCCTGTACTCACTGCCTCCCACAACCACATCAAAATTACAACTAAAATACAAAACAACCATCATCCAGAACCACCAGAAGACCGGCTGAATGGAAGTCCTACAACTAGAGAAATAAAGAAGAAAGCACACTGAGACTGGTAGGAGGTGCGAAGGTGTGGAATGGGCTGGTCTGGCACCCATGTGTGCCCCTTTTTTAATTGGGAGGGAGATTGTCTCTGTGGAGGCTGACCAGAGGAGCAAGGGGTCCCAAGCCCACACCAGATGCCTAGCCCAGGATTCCAGAGCTGGGAAAAGAGTCCCTACGGGCAGTAAGAACTACGGGCTTTTAAAAAACAGTGCAGATTGTGGCTGAGTGACACACAGGCTGCTAGAGACCCAGCTGCTCCTCTTAAAAGGCATTTACCACAAACTACACTTACAAGCTCCCGCTACCTCTGAGCTCAGTGCCAGGCAAAGCTCTGGGGGACCCAGACACATATGAGGAGACACTGGACTGTCTAGTATCTGAGCAGAAACTTAGGGGCAGCTTTCTTCCAGAAGGAGGTGCTCATGGGGTTCATTGTTCCCCTGCTGGAACCTCCCCAGTTGCAGGGCTGACTGGCAGCCATTTCTGTTTGCTCAGCCCTGGTGATTCCCTGAGATCCTGCCCCACCAATTTACAACCCCACCCAAGCTGTGAGCAATGGCTTTTATGTATTAATGGCTGTCCTTGCTCAGGCTAAAAACCTGTCAAACAAGCTGCAGCTGGGTCAGAGAGTACCAAACCTATCAATAAAAGGCCCAAGACCCAGTACCAGCACCAGCCTCCCTTGCTTCACTGCTGGGCCTCATCTGGGCACCTCCAAACCTGATACAAAGAAGAGGAATCTAAAGATCTCACTGAAGCTCCTGCTGGGTGGCCCCAGGCAGTGGCTGACTTTACACCTTCCTGGAGACCCAAGAGCCAGTATACCTAGTGGTCAGTGTGAGACCATACCAGATTACAACTCTTCACATCCATAAGTGACACACTCAAGGGGAAGACTCAGTGAACACCAAAGCCCCACTGAAGCAAGACCTGCTCCATAAGGGTGTCTCCTGCACAGGAGCTCTCCCACTGTAGTCACAGCTGGTCTCCACAGCCAATTGGCCTGGAGGTCAATTCCTCCCAGTGACACCAACAGCAACCAAGGCTCAACTACAACAAACTGTGCACACAGCCCACAAAGGGATGCACCTAGAGTGTCCACCTCAGGTGATTGGGGAGGCTGAGCCACTGGGCCCTTTAGGACACTTACTTACTATACAAGGCCACTCTATCAATTCAAGGAGACATAGCAGCTCTACCCAATACATAGAAACAAACACAGGGAAGCAGCCAAAATGTGGAGACAAAGAAACATGTAACAAATGAAAGAAATGGAAGAAGCAAACTACTGGATATAGAGTTCAAAACCACAGGTATAAGGTTACTCAATAATCTTCCAGAAACCTCCAAGGGACTTAGTGAGATTTTCAAGGATCTTAGTGAGAATGTCAAAAAATGAAAAAGGACCAGTCAGAAATTAAGCATACACTGATTGAAATAAAGAATAATATACAGGGATTCAACAGTAGACTAGAGGATCCCAAGAATCAAATCAATGATTTGAAATATGAGGAAGCAAAAAATACCCAACCAAAAGAGCAAAAAGAAAAAAGAATCCAAAAATATGAAGATAGTGTAAGGAGCCTCTGGGACAACTTCAAGCATACCAACATCTGAATTATGGGGGTGCCAGAAGAAGAGAGAGACTAAGACATTGAAAACCTATTTAAAGAAATAATGACAGAAAACTTCCCCTACCTGGTGAAAGACATAGACTTACAAGTCCAGGAAGCACAGAGAACCCCAAACAAGAGGAACTCAAAGAGGACCACACCAAGACACATCATAATTAAAATGCCAAGGGCAAAAGACAAAGAGAGAATCTTAAAAGCAGCAAGAGAAAAGCAGTTAATTACCTACAAGAGAGTGCCCATACAACTGTCAGCTGATTTCTCAACAGAAACTATGCAGGCCAGAAGAGAGTGGCAAGAAATATTCAAAGAGATAAATAACAAGAACCTACAAACAAGATTACTCTACCCAGCAAAGTTATCATTTAGAATTGAAGGTCAGATAAAGAGCTTAACAGACAAGAAAACGCTAAAGGAGTTCATCACCACCAAACCAATATTAAATGAAATGCTGAAGGGTATTCTTTAAGAAGAGGAAGAAGAAGAAAAAGGTAAAGATAAAAAATGTGAACAACAAAGTGGCAACAAATACGTATCTATCAACAATTGAATCTAAAAATCAAATGAATAAAAAATCTGATGAACAGAATAAATTGGTGAATGAAATAGAATCAGGGGCATGGAAATGAAACAGACTGATGATTCTCAGAAGGAAAAGGGTATGAGGGGGTGGGGGAAGAGATGAGACAAAGATCTTATATACATATGTGCATTACCTATGGACACAGACAATATGGTGGCAAGGGCCTGGGGTGAGGTGGGAACCAGGTGAAGGGGAGCTACAGGGGGAAAAAGAGGGACATCTGCAATAATCTCAACAATAAAGATTTTTTAAAAATCTGATTTGGTGCGTACTTATTAGTTGCAGAAGCAGAAGTGACAGTGAAAGTACCTCTGTAAGCCTCAATTTTTTCATCTATTGTTATTGTAAAGAGACATAAAAGACAGAGTGGTAAACTTGGCAAAGAAAACTTGCTTTCATACAGAAGAGATAACTGACTTACTCCATGTAAATCTCAAAAGTCAAACATTATGGGAATAACCAAAAAACATACTCTACAGTTCCACATGAAAAAATGATAACAGAACCTGTCATATAAGGAAAAGAGCTACTTGAGGATACAGTGAGTTTCCTATTCCTAGAAATATTCAA